ATATAACCGTAGCTTCTCGTCTACAAGCTACGCCGGCATTCAAGCGCTTGGAACCATTGACTTGCGTGAGACGGTCCGAGTGATCGTGCAAGAAGAGCTGGGAAAATTACTTCCTTCAGCGCAGCCTCACGTGGAATCCATCGCGTACGTCGTACGCCAGGAGATCCAGCGATCGCTGGGCATTTCTCAGCCTCAAGAGCTTCAGCTGCAAGCCATGAGCTATGCTGCTGCAGCCCGCTGCCACGCCCCTCCTCCACGTGCACGCCAAAACACTGCCCCATCGCCAGACGCCACCACCGCCACCACCGCCACCACCCCCACCGGCGTCCTACCGTTCGCCAGCGGCCCGGCGCAGTGCGCCGAGGAAGACTGACGTCTGGCGAACCCCTGACCACCGCCCACTCTGCTACCACTGCGGCGAGGCCGGACACACATACCGCCGTTGCTAGTACCGAGAAATGGGACTGCGTGGCTTCGCCATCAATGCACCGCGTCCACAGCCAGAAGAACGGCCACGTGACATCGCCGACTACCTGACAGGAACTCGGTGGACACCACGAAGCCCTTCCCGTTCACCGTCGCCCCGCCGCCGCACATCACCGCACCACTGGCAATACTCTGGCCCAACGCGGGGCCGGTCTTTTAGCCAGTATCCGGGAAACTAAGGGCAGCAACCGATGGAGGTGCGGTCGCTGTGCGACGAACTACCGAAGATCCTCCGACGACGACGACGCCGCGACGAAGCTTTCCGAACACAACGCCAACCAGGCAAAGCCAGACAAACCACCGCCGGACGACAGCGTACCACCCACAGACCAATGGCCTCTCCGAGCTGCTAAACAAGACGATCGCAGACATGCTGTCAATGTACGTCGATGTCGAACACAAGACGTGGGACGCCATTCTTCCGTACGTGGCATTGGCATACAACACGGCGGTGCAGGAGACGACGCAGATATGTCCATACAAATTGGTCTACGGAAGGAGCCCTGCAACGACGCTCGATGCCATGTTACCCAACGTCAACGACAAAAAAAAAACTTCGATGTGAGTGAGTACCTTCAACGCGCCGAAGAAGCCCGACAACTCGCGCGTCTCCGCATCAAGAATCAACAGACGAACGACAGCCGCCGTTACAATCTTCGACGACGCTTCGTGGAATACCAGCCCGGTGAACGTGTTTGGGTGTGGACGCCAATACGCCGACGTGGACTCAATGAAAAGCTTCTGCGACGGTACACGGACCGTACAGGGTGGTTCGACGTCTCGGCCCACTTGATTACGAAGTTGTCTCCGACGGCATCACGAACTCTCAACGACGCCGATCGCGACCTGAAGTCGTCCATGTCGCGCGCCCCAAGCCGTTTCATGAGCGTTAACAAACTCAGTTTTTTTGTATTATTATTGTATCGTAATTTATTCATTGTACTTTCTTGCATTATTCCTGTACCTTCATCTTTAGTTAAAGCATCGGGACGATGCCCTTTTCAGAGAGGGGGCATTGCCACGTTCCATTTCTCAAGTTTTTTTTACCGCCCCCAAACACTACACGATTCTCAGCGCGAAATGCACGTGCAGTTTTCGAGAAGCTTCCGGACTGTAGTAGATCATTTCGATAAGATCACGCCCACTCTGCGAACTGTACAGATTATTCTGGAACCTACGCCACCGCCAGCGATAACGCTAGAACATTCGATGGCAAGAGTATATATGCCGACGCACTTCACCGCTTGTCAGTAGTTGATCGACGGCCGACGCTCCGTTCGCCGCTATCAGCCCAAGACTGCTACTGTAATCGGACTTTCCGTTTAACGGGCACAGGTTCGCCCAAATAAACAGTTAAATTCCAACGCAAAGTCTCCTGTCTTCGGCCACGTCATGACGCCGTGACAATACGGAGACCTGGTGGCACTTCTTTCATCTAGTCACGCAACACCCTTCACAACCGCTCATATCAAACATTGTGAACCGTGTTGTGGATTCGAACCTACTTGCATGTTTGTCCTTAGGCGAGCCTGTTGCTGCTGCTTGTCTAGTGTGTCGCACAGGAATGGTGAATAAACTGGAGGAAAAAGGAAAGCTCGTGCCTAGGATTTGGTAAACAGAAAGGGCAACCTTGTAATCACGAAGTGCCGAGACTGACAGGAAACGTTGCTCCTGAAATATATTATTTGGATTCCTGTGGTTTCCACCTATTATGTTTAGGGCTTGCTTTTGTAGTCGTCGAAGTCATCAGCGTACATCAATGTTTTTGGAAGATCATTTTTGTACAGTAAAAAAAAAAAACGCCAGGCCTGCGCGGAAGGCGCAGCACAGTCACAGCGAAAGCTAGAAAGCTCGGCCTTTCAGAGCCTTTTCAAAACACTCATTGGGTGACCACTGCAAGCACACTTGCTTGGTACTCACTAGGGCATTAATACTAATAAGCTTTTCGGTAGTACGCCGGCATTCGCTATGCTACTTTTTTTTTCATTCTTCTTATAGAAACATGGTATCCGCTTAACACTTGCAAGGAATGTCCTGCCAATTGTTTATGAAGTGACCAACGACGATCAGGAATTGTGGCTGAAGTGGGTATGTGCCACAGTTAATAGGGGAACGAGAACAAGCTTTTGTATTGGGTGTGAGTATTGGACGACCCATTCGTTACGCTGTTCGCATTGTGCGACGACTGATTGTTCTATCGCTATTTTAAAACCCTTTATAAATCGTATCAACGCGATTGCTTTCCCGAAATCACGCCTGCCTAAGGCAAGTTTGCCAACAAGTCACAAGCACCAGCGTAGCTCAGTGGCAGATTACTGGGCTGACACCCAGCGGGCCCGAGTTCGAGCTCCACTATGTGTTTGATGCTAGGTTTGCCAACAAGTCACTAGCACTGGCGTAATTCAGTGGTTTACAAATTGGCTGACACGCAGGGGACCCGGGTTGTGCGCCCCACTGTGTATTTAGTGCTAGGTTGTTTTTTTTTTTTTCTAATTTCGCGCGATGTGGTTACGGACACCAATGGTGGCGGCGGCGGACAACTGCGTGTGACCCGAGTTGTGATCTTATAACAGACTTTGCTGTAAAATTACCGGGTCTGATACGCATCCCTAAGGCACTCTATACTCATTGTGCTGTGTGCCGATTTGTTGTTTTTAATCACTACTTCGCTTTCTCAAGGACAAGTAGCTCGAGAAGAACTTTAGTGAACTCTCGCTGAAGCCATAACTTCCAAGCTTCTGTAGCAGTATGTCTTGGGGAACAGTATCGAATGCCTTTTCAATATCTAGAAAGACTGCTACTGCAATATTCCCCTTGTCCCGCCACGGTGGTCTAGTGGCTAAGGTACGTGGCTGCTGACCCGCAGGTCGCGGGTTTGAATCCCGGCTGCGGCGGCTGCATTTTCGATGGAGGCGGCAGTGTTGTAGGCCCGTGTTCTCAGATTTGGGTGCACGTTAAAAAACCCCAGGTGGTCGAAATTTACGAAGCCCTCCACTATGGCGTCTCTCATAATCGTATGGTGGTTTTGGGACGTTAAACCCCACATATCAATCAAGCAATCAATCAATATTACCGTTGTGAATTGTGGTGTTTATAATGCGCGAAAGCATTAGAATAGCTGATGTTGTAGAACTTGCAAGAACAAATCGATGTCACTGTGGATATATGATGTCATTATCAATTAAAAGGCGTTTTAATTGATAGACAATCTGCTTTTCGGAAAGTGTGTTAACACAACTTCGGAGATTGGTCTGTAGTTTTCAGGATTATTTGAGTCCTTAGATCTGTATACAGGAACTACCTTGGCAATTTTTGATTTATATGGATATATATTACAGGTGAATGCATGTTTAAAAATGTGACATAGCGGAGCACAAAGAAGGTTAATGTTATCTTTGATAACTTTAGCTGGTATTCCGTCAACTTTAGTCACTTTTTTGTGGCATATTAGCCACGAAGATTTGATCTCATCTGCGGTAGTTTCCGTAAGGTTGAAATCGTTTCCAGTCGGCCTGGGGAGATAGGGAGCAGATATCGACGAGTGATACCGACCAGCAAGGTTAGCACCAATGCTAGTAAAATATGGATGGAAATTGTCAGCAACAAGAAGGCGTTTTTTTTTTTGCGTAAGCCTGTAACATGTGTGATTACTTTTTTGCATTGCTCCCTTCCCGACCAACGATATTGGTATAATACTCCCTTTTCAATTTCCGTTTTAATGCAACCGACTTATTTCTGTAGAACTTGAAACTTTCCCGGTAATACGTGTTGCTCCTGTTGTTTTTCCACTTCTTGTAGTACGAGTCCTTTAATTTCAATATTTTTAACAGGCTGTTGGTTATTCACGAACAGACAGCGTGATCGTAGTTGTGACGCGTACGTTAACGTGTTGACTCCCTAATCAGTCTGTTCATCAATTGCAGAAAGTTCTCACACTCAATTTCCATGTAATTATCATATACGCCCTCCAAGTCCACATCCTGGATCAATCAACTCAGCAGAACAAGATCTGCATACGTAGAACACTGTTATCGTAACGTGTTGACCTTTGTCGGGTATTTATAAGGAATAAGCATAAATGTCGGGTAATGATCAGTAATGCTCACATCATACACCCCAGCACTTACTTCCCATTCGGCGTCACATAACATATGATGCTATGTTAGGGTTCCATATCGTAATTGCTTGGTAGATTGACACTAACAGAGACCGAAGAAATAACAGACAAGGACAAGTGCGTTCGTGCCACTGGTATGTTAATAAACAGAAGTATAAATAAGTATGCAGTTTTTTAGTGCACCTTCCATTCAATAAGATTCCCCTTGTTCTCGTGAGTTCTTTCTCCATTCTGTTTTTCTAGTGTGGCACCAATGAGCAAACCTTAAGATTCTGTAACGTGCACTAAGCAAAAAGTGATATAATGATGCTTTGTTTACATAGCGATTCTGTGGTATTGTGCTGTCAACGAATATAAACGTTCAGTGCTCGATGTTATTTCTCTCTGTATACTCCAGCCACACACTTGTTAACCTTTGTTCCCCATTGCCTGGATCATCTGGCCTTTCCTCGCGCGGCCGTCCGGATGAGTGTGTGTCGGGCCCAGCAACATCCAGCCATGAAAAATAAAGTAAAAACACGCGTTTTTTTTCTCTTGTTTATCTGTTTATCATGTTCGGTTGTGTTAATTTTTTAGCTGATGACAGTGGGTCTTCTTTTTTAGCACTTAAATATTAAGAGAATCCTTGCATCAGCAAGTTGGACATGAAGACATTACATGTTCCACGTATGATAGCTCGAATTTATGAAGAGAAGTCCGAGCAAACAGTGAATCAAAATATATTTGCCAACAATTACCATTTAATGCCATCATTCATATAAGATGTCATATCATATCGTGATTATGAATGCTTGTTTTGACAACCACCACTGTCTGTATTTAGCTGAGGAGTAAAATTCTCATAGGTACTTGAACCAATCACGAATTAGGAATTACGTTTGTCAAAGACGTTTATTATATGCATTATTAAAATGGAGCGATGATATTTAGTCTTCATCTGTCGCCAATGAAATCTTCTTTCCAAAGTAGATGGCACTTGCCTATAGATAGGACGCAGCGCTCGTCCTGTGTACCTACGCTGACCCAGAGATAAATTATATTGTATGCATCTTTCTTTACAGCTTCCACAACACGTCACCGAGACCCAAAAAGAAAGGTCTCCTCACCAGAGACCGCAGCTGTCATCAAGCGGCTAAAGAATGATGCGCAAAGGTATCGGAAGTCAGCTACAATAAAAAGCCGGCGAAAAATTGCTATATAGAAAACACTCGAGAAGTTAAAGCATCATATCCCTGAGCTGTGTAAACTCTTGGCTAGCCAAGTGGCACTCCATTGTCGGAAGAGGAAGGGAAGGAGGTGGTCTCGAGAGTTGAAAAAATTCGTCTTGAATATGTATTTTCATGAGCCAAGCTCCTACCCCAATTCTCGGAAGGGCTGGCTTTGCCATCACCAAGGTCGCTTCAAAGCTGGCTGTCTGAAATTTCAATGACTCTCGGAATTATTTCTAGTGTATGGGGCATTCTTAAGCATGTAGCAAGACATTGGCTACTAGAAGATCGGACGTGCTTAATTACATTTGATGAATTGTCAGTGAGACCAAATTTACAGTCTGACATTAAACATGATGTAGTCATTTGATTTTCAGATGATGGCTCAGAGACGACAACAGTGGTGGCAAACGTAGCGTTTGTAGCACTCCTGGAATCTCGCAATTGTGGGTGATGCCTGTGGTGTTCGCTGTTGCCAAAATTGCTCTGCGTGGAAAATCAAGACACTGATACTGGCCTTGATAGTGCAGCTTGCAGAATGGGAGCTGTATGCCAAAGCCGCGGTGTGCGATCAGGGGTCAAGTAACAATAAATTATTTAATGAATTGGCAGCCACACTGGAAAATCCGTATTTTGAAGTGAACGGGAAAAACGTTTCTTGCTTCTTCGATACTTCACACCTATTGAGGTGCACAAGAAGTAACTTTCAAGCCCCTCACAAGCTTTTCATTGCCACAGAAATAGTAGACTCGACCTACAATTGTGAACAATAAAAGTGCTCTCACCCACTTGAAGTGAAATTGCCGAGAATTTCAACATTTATTTATATCTGCTTGAGGCACATGAAGGTCAAGTTCGTGGCGCATGTCTTGAGCGAGTCTTTGCCAATAGCAATGTCCGTCAATATTGCTCTTGGTAAGCTACCTGCAACCGTCAAATCTACTGCAGATTTTATAGAACAGATGGACAAGCTATTTGACTGCCTCAAATGCAAAATTGCCACCACCTGTTTTCCCGGTAAAATGAATTATGCTCTTAGTGCCACCTCCGAGCACCTGGCTTTTTTACGAGAGGCAATCCAACGAATATCGGGTTGGAGATTTGACAACCCTAGGCAGCCGCACACTATTCGTGGCTGGCTATAGTCACCATACAGGCTGTCCTTACGCTGGGTAAAGACCTCCATAAAATTTTAACTTCACTTGCCTCCTGACTCGTCGCCTCCAGCAAGACTCGCTGGAGAATATATTCGGCACTTTGAGGCAGAAGCATGGCTGCGATGAGCATTCAAACGTGTTTCAATTTATCGCTGCGTTGAAACACGTTTTCGTTGGGAAACTGTCAAACCTGTCATAGCGCGAGAATTGCGAAATTGTGGATTCGTACCTACTTGCACGTCTCTCCTTAGGCGAGCCTCGAGCTGAACAGGCTGTGATAACAGAAACGTTTTTCCCAAGCGAGACCTCAGGTGACGACCTCCTTGACATCACGGAAAAGAATGCTTTGTACTTCTTTGTCGGCGGCATCACGCAGCCATTCCTTAAAAACAGGTCAGCGGATTGTATATGGGAGCCATTCAGGAGTGGTGATCGGGCATTCTCAGGTTCCCATCAAACTTTAGCCATGCTAGTGTCTCGTAGTAAGGAAGGCGGACTTTTTGCTAGTTCGACACTGCCTTCTGTTGTTTTTTCGAGGTAGTGAAAGACATGGAGAAATGTTTTGTAGAACACATAGGTGTGGTCGCACATTTGTGCTGCATTAGTATACTGTGCTGAAAGATAGGCTAAACAGTGGTCTTCCCAAAGAAATATTTTGCTCTGAAAACTGTCGCTTGGACCTGCTGCGGCAATTTCGCAATGCACGGCTCATGCTGCAGGCCCTCAAAAAACGGCGTGACAGAAAGTCCGCTGCAAAAAGAAAGCTCCAGAAGCTTCAAAGTTATACAAAATTGTCTTACTAAGAACCTATTTCCGAAAGTGCAGTGGGCATTAAATGAATGCGCATTTCTTTGGGCATTCTCTTGAATAGGCTATTTTTACAAGACACTTTAGCGCATTCTTATGTCTGCGCAAACAGCGTACAAGGTATTGTCTTTTTGCAGAAATTCACAGCTCACACTGTTGTGCCATAATTCACTGCTGCGATACGCGAATTTTGAGATCTTGTCCTTGATGATGTGATGTTGCACAAGCACTAATACTAGTCAGCATTCTTGCCACGAACATTTTCATTTGAATGTCAAATTAGGAAGGAGCTCGTTCTAGAAAAGCCAAAAATATTTTGCTAAGTCAAGAAAATATGCCGTGCCAAAAGCAAGTGCACCAGAAAAGCTTGGGGCTTCCGCCGGTTTGTTAAGGCATCTTCAAAAGTCAAATACAAACTAACTCCAGTCTTATACAAAATTAATTGCAGAGCTCAGGTTTGTCCTACGCATCCAACAAGATGCACGAAGCTGAGCTTATAAGCTCTATTAAAGAAAATACTTGATATTATTAAGGGATATTTCAGGAGTGTCATAAAAACCAGTCAGAAACACTAGCTCTCAGCTATCTACCCAGGCTGATTCATTATATGCAGTTGATCTGAATTACTTTTGTTAACGTTTTTCCACACCCAGAAGGTGTCCGTTCTCTGATACCTTTGCACATCAATGTGTCCTGGTCCAATTTCCGCAAGTGATTAACCATCTGCACTTGCCTATATTGAATTTACTCTTTTTCTGTCTGCTAGGTGACATTTGATGTTTGATGTAGGATTGTGATACTCATGCCTAACTGCAATAAAAATATGTGCATAACAAATTACGATGAATAACTACAGTATTTCTAGTGTAAAAATCTGTACTGATACCTTTTTAGCAATGCTACAGCTTTGAACGACGGTTTACGCGATGTGTAGAAAAATAAAGCCACATGTTAAAATGTAAATAAAATTTGCTTTGTCAGTAACGGTACAAGGAAAAGCTGAGTTACATAGTCAATTCGCTTGCTATAGAAGGTTATTTTGTCTAGCAAGTTTGATAGAAAACACAAAAAGAAACTGGTAGTGTTGGGATCAGTCTGTTGGTCTTTTGCACTGCATGATAAGTGCATTGTTCACGAATGTGAACATGTTCTTATGAACCATCCTTTCTGGAGAATCGTGTAATGTACAGCCAGTGAACGTGATGACCCTTGTAGCGATATTCTACACACAATGAACCGTGTGAATACTTCTCTTACAGTTCATGTTACCAATGCAGAATGGGAACATTTGTATTTACTGCATGAGATAAACATCTCTGGGCTATTGTTGCGTGTAGTTTTATCGTTTGAAATACGTTGCTAATAAAATGAGTGAATTAACCACTCTTTCCAACTACTCCTTCCTTGCCCACACAAAACTGTCACGCTTGAAAGCTTGCTGCCTCGCGCGCATTAAACTGAAAATAATTTCCAAACAAATGTGTCGTCGACGTGCTGAAAGTGTGGAAAAATAGTGACCTAAAGTAGGCAAAACAAAATATGCAGCAGTAACACAACCTGAAAAACAAAAAGCAAGCGGTGCTGTTTTCTGCTTGCGGCTGACACAACAGTCGCGTGCTCGTCGAGCGCATAGCAGGCGACAAGCAGCTCTGCGTTTTCTCCTCTCTCATGAACAAAAGCGTAGCCATAGCAGCAAAGCAATTTTTCATTGCTTTTTCGTTTCACAGTTTGCCTACCAAACACAAGGGGACAAATTGGCACTAATGATGCAATTGTCGCTTACCTGGGGGGGTATACCGGTATACTAGCTGACCTAACAATGGCTAAGCATAGTCACGCGGCTCAGCCGTCGAAAACGTAGAGTGGGGCAACGCTGGCTGTTGGCAACTAAGTACGTGAATAATGTAAGTGCGAAATACAAACCAAGCTTCATTTAACGAAGTAATGACCACGCTCAATTTTTTTCAATAAATTGGGAAGTTCGTAAAATTGGGAAAAATATTTTCGGGTTCCTCAATATTTCAAATTTTAACGCAGCAACATCCAGAAGTCACCGTGGCATTGTATGTAGCCCATGCCTGTGCGTTTGAGTATTAAGTCAACGACAGCGGGACGGACATGGGCCAGACATGGGCCCTCTCATGTCCGGGTGATTCGAGTGAAGATGTGAAGCTACGACAGGCTGTCGTAATGAAAAAAAATAAGGAGACAGAACAATAATTGGTGCAAGCTGCTTCGTCGACGTGACCCAATATGGCACCATAAATAGTTGTGCAGCAGTGTCAATCAACCACAGGGGTTTGACTATTAACGCTGTTTAGGTAGGATGATCGTCGTCGTGTGCGGCTGAGCACATGGCCACTGTGTTGGCCCTTCTGGATGACAAACATGAACATATATTCACCGACTCCAGAGCCTTCGGCGTTGGCACCGTGTGTAAGAAAGCCTATCGCATACTGGAAGGCAAAAGCATCACCACCCACACTCTCACTTGGTTCTCCGATCACAAGGAATCCATGAGGAGGGCCCCACAAACCTGAACGGCCTGCCCACTCTAAGGCGCGAGGTCTCGCTTTCCGCTACTATCTACGTATGAAGGCAAGCCTACCAAAACTTGATTAACGCAGGATAGTACCCAGAATAAAATTCATCTACAAACTTTACCACGGTGACTTCAATTTATCGCGGGAATGCTATCTTAAGCAATCTTCAAAACTTTCAGTAAGCACAAATCATGAGAAAATTTTCCGGCAGCCACTCAGCCCAAATAATGCCCACAAGTTCGCTCTCTTTCTTCGCGCTATTTTTCTCTGGAATGCGTTACCTGCAGAGGCAGTAAATGCTGTCTCGACAGATTCATTTATGGAACATATTGAAAGCTTACATTTTTTTGATAAAAGCGATGTATACTGAAAATAGCTTGATTTTTGTATGATTTAAGTGAGTTGTGTTCATTGGAAAAGTTTTTTGTGAAATTTTGTTGTCTGTTATGAATTATGTACTAAACATTATTATTACTTTTGAGTTGTGTACTTATCTTTTGTATAATACTTCAATTATACCAAGAAAGATATTCAGTGTATAAGGACACAATGCTTGTTTGTATTTTTGTATTTCACTCTTGAATGGGCCCTAGGAGGGCCTGCAGTAGCTGTAAATAAAATTAAAATAAATATAGAGAACTCTCCCTTCCGGCGCGCAGTTGTGGAGAACAGAGATCATCAGAATTACACAGCATTTAACTCGGCTGCAGGAACTTTAGGACTTTCCCCTTCCTAAGAAAAAGTTGAATCGAGCGCAGCCATTGGCTCTCAGACTATTTCAGACGGGTTCCTATCCAAGCACGGTTTTATTGCATTAAAGGTATTCTGGAACCTATCCTAATAGTTACTGCATGCACTGCAATGAATTCGCTAGCCTAGACCACAAGCTCTGGCGGTGACCCTCGTTAGGGGCCATGGACCAATCTAAGGAAGACAAGTGGCCATTCATCATCAAGAACCCCGATGTCGGGGCTCAACTGCACAGAGGGCCCACTAAGCCCACGACGTGGTATGGTCGGGCTTCGCCTGACATGACGTGGAAGTGGCCTGCTGCGCGTTGAGTCGTGCACCTCAGGACTTAAGATAAAAATTCGCATCCGTCCATCCAACTGAATCCAGGGATTGTGCGAGCAAGCTGAGCAAAAAAGGTAATGAGGGCTTGATTAGTGCTCTATGTCGCATAAACCATGAAATCACAAAAGTAGCTATAGGGTGTTCCTGTAGTATAATTTACAGGGGCGATAAAACACCGCTGCCCTTAGCGTCATCGGTTACGTAAGAGCGCTACCTGTGGTTGATGACTACATTGTATTATATGGTTACTGGCTGGGGAAAAGGAATTTATTCGTCAGATCGAAAAATTCCTCCCGAAATCGGGTTTCGTCAGATCAATTTTTATGTGTATGCACAACTTCTATTAGAAAATGAAGTGTTTACAATAAAGTGGGATAATTTCATAATTTCAAATAAAGTGGGATAATAACATTGCAGTTTCAGGACGTTGAAAATCAAGCAGCTTAATTTTATTTCATAATATTATTATCTGGGGATTTATGTCCTGAAACCACGATATGATATAAGAGAAGCCATAGGGGAGGGATCCGGAAATTTCGACCACCTGCTGTTCTTTAACGTGCACTGACACCACACAGTACACGGGCCTCTACCACTCCGCCTCCACCTAAATACGACCTCCGCGGCCGGAATCGAACCCGCGACCTTTAGGTCAGCAGCCGAACACCTTAGTCACTGATCCACCTTGGTGGACTAACCTCATTTTGTTCCAAACTGGGAAAACACGCATAAATTAATGACATAGCTAATGCACACTATAATATGAAAAGAAGTTACGATAGCCCGAAGCTATTCTATTCATTTGTATTCCATGTTTGCCATTTACCCTGCCCGATTAAATAAAAAGGGAAAAATTACACCACCTGCCACTAAAGAGAATTATGTGGGGATGTGAAGCACTGCTGGTGTTCACTCGCGTTCCCATTTGTTGTTTCTATTTGTGTGTTTCTGTGTAAGTTTAATTTGCATGTGGAGTTGTGTATTTGTTGTGTACCGCTTATTACCCCCCCACACACACACACACGCCTCTTATTTATGTGTTTTGCCAAGTGTAAGCCACAAAGAGAACACTCCGACACGCCGCAATTTCTGCGAAACGAGCTCCTCAACACTCTCGCTTTAGAATATGTTCGTGCCACAGCTATCCCTTGTCTGTCACGCATTGGTTATGCCATACCGGGAAGATCACATAAAAAAGAAGGAAAAGGACGATTCAGTGTAACGTTCTCCTTTCACTATTTCTCAACCTAGAGGGGGCCCGGTGGCACGTTGAAAATGGATCACCTTAACTTGCTTCGTTTCTTCGTAACGCCGCTCATCATGTTTTCCTGGCAGCCTTTCCCGGTTCGGATCGAGAAGCAGCCAGACGGCGTTGTACCTGATGCTGGCGTTCCATACCCCACACCTGCAGACACACTGAACAAACAGTGACTACAGTTTCAACCAGGAGGGGTCATGATGACTGCATACCTGCTCAAACAGTCTGCGCAGAATCGCCGGTGAGGCAGGATCGTTTTGGTCGCACTGCCAGCGCATGGATCGGACTTACGACGTACTATCCGCAACCAGCACTTTATCCACCCCACTGGAAAAGTCTATAAAGCCTGGTGAAACCATCGCTGCAATCAGTGGGCCCGGCGAACCGTTGAAAATGAATCGTCCTAACTTGCTTCGTCTCTTCGTAACGCACGTAACGCTTCAGCATTGGCTCTAAGCTAAACGTACTATATAGCTCTCGTGCATTGTTACTTCTGCCGAGCCCACAGCTATATCGTTTGTAATAATATATCACTGTACATGCATGCTAATGAGAGTGCTTTTGTTAGCCGGTGATGTCGAAACTAATCCCGGCTCCGCTACTTAGGCTTCGGGTGACTTACTTGAAATATTCAGAGTGTACAGAGTGGGCAGTCAACTATGATCGAACAATTAGCTTCCATTAAAAAACGGTCTCTGAAAACAAAAAAGTTCAATGACATCAATGATAAGCTCGACAAGACTGAATGCGACCTTATCTCAATTCAAAGGTTTTTGGACGTTAAACCTCACAAATTAATCATAAAGTCAATTCAAAGTGTAGTGGTGAATTCACAAGGCATTGGCCAGTGGAACGATCTCTTAGTGCGAAGTGCGAGCGGTGTCCACGAGCTGTCGACGCTGGGCTGTTCGAACATTGCTGTCCGTACAGGCTGCTTGCCTACTACCTGGCGTCGTTATCAAACTTCATTGCAAAAGTATCAATCTGCAGCTTTAAAATATAGAAGCAGTCACGACCAACTGCAGTTCTCAGGTGTCTCAGCTGACTGCTCGCGTTGGATATATGAAATGTAGATTTCGAGGATGCAACCTAGTATTCTATGTGGCCTCGCAGACAGACAAACCGAGACATGGCGTGATTCAGAGGAATTGGTCAACCAGCATTGCGAAAAAAAAATGTTCATATCACTATTCAAACACGCAACATCGAAAAAGCTCACAGGCTTGGCGCTTTTAAACATGGAAAGAATCGACCAATCATTGTCAAGTTTGCCCATTTCAAGGACAAAAACCACACTCTTTCTAGGGGCGGCAAGCTGAAAGGCTCATTCTATGGTATAAGTAAAAATTTTCCTCCGCACACACGCTTGGCCGTAGACGCTTGGCTGAATTTGGCAAGACTAGAAACAAAACCTACGTATTTTATCATCCTACTCAGACTGTTGTCAAGCACAAACGTTAGCAATTACCCAAGAAAGTCGGCAACCTATGTTAAGCGTCCTAAACATGATGCATCGCC